CCCGCCCCTTTTGCCTCCTTGAACGTGATGCAACCGGGATCCCTTCTTGCTTCTCCCCTAAGCTGTTTTCTTTCTCTCCCTCTTGGGAACAAAAGCCGCCAGTTGTTGCTGCAGCGCTACAAAAAGCAGAGAGCGGCTTTTCCAAAGGGGAAGGGGCTGATGACCCCAGCAGGGAGAAGCCAGCAGCCGCACAATAGCCGGCACGCGTTGCGGCAGGCGAGGTGGCCTGATTTATAAAATAAACCCCGGTGCCCTCCTTCCCTGAGCAGGAAACATCTGCGCTGGTGCTGCTGGCTCGGCCAGGCAGTGGGAGCAGCAGCCAAAGGCAACAGCACTAAAACCAAAACTACCCCCCCTCCCTTCCCCGGACACATTTCTTCCCAGAAATTAAACCCTGGTGGGATGAGGAGCAGCCGGCTCACCTGGAGGATGCTGCGATTGCAAGGCTGAGCCGCATCTTCCCCGGCGTGGCTTCTAGAGCATGTAAATGATGTAGGAGAGGATCACCAGGCCGATGATGGCAAAAAACATCAGGATGAAAATATCCAGCATGGTGGGCGAGGAGCCGGTGGGGCAAGGGGCTGCCGGGCTCCCCGCGGCGTGGAAAGGGGCTGCTCGGCAGAGCCGCCGCTTCGCTCGCCAGCCCCCGCGGCTCAGCCGCTGCGTCCTCCCCTCCCAGCCGGAGCACGGCTCGCGCTGCTCAGGATGGAGAGATGATGCCGGAGCTGACGGAGCCGCTTTCCAGCAGGCAGGCGGAAAATAAAAGGGATAAACACCAGCGGGCAGAGGGGGCTTCAGCCTCGCACGGGCGGCGGAGCCCTCGCTCAGCCCAGACCTGTGAGCGGCCCCCCCCCGGGGGGCACCGGCTGCCTGCGGGAGGGTGGCTTTGCCCCTGCTCCTTCCTACCCAAACCGCTGCCCACTTTCTGAGGGTGCTTATGGTGATGCGACCCCCTCCCCCCCGATTGCAGCTGGGAAAGGGCCCACCCTATGGGGAAAGAACCAAAAATGAGCTTTGGCCATCGCACAGCCACGTTGATCCGTCAGGACCGCTCTGACTTCTCACCTTTGGGAGGCAGGTACTCCCAGGGTACGGCAGCAGCCTTTGCTTTCGGTGTCGCACCACCTGCTTCGGTACGGTTCAAAGCAACGCGGTTCTAAGTGAACACCAACAGCCATGGAGCCCTTTTATTTTGATTTTTTGTGGCTAGTGCTGTTGGTGCAAATAACATCCTCCTCCACACACCTTCAAGATTTTCTTTTCCCTCTGTTAAATGCTGTAGCTGCTGAAAATCCCCCCTGGAGAGGCTGCAGGGGCCAAGCTAAGCCGTCGCCAGCGGCTCTCCGAGCACCGGGGCTGGCTGGGGGCCGGCTGTCGGTCCCAGAGATGTCGGCCAAAGCTGGGACCCGGTGCCCTCGCTACGCTGCCCACAGCGAAGCTTCCCATTTCCCTGGGTGGCTCTGGTCTCCGGAGAAGCCCCCAGCACACCCGAACCCCAGCAGATCCCAGACCCACGTTGTAACCGGTGTTCAGCCTCCGAGAGCGAGACCCCGAAGCCGGGGAGGCACCGCCCGCGCCTCTGCCCCGCTCTCTGCAAGGGTTTCTCCAACGGGGCTGGCAGCTCGATCTTGAGGCCGATTTCCCGGGGCTCCATGGTACCCGCAGGCTGCAGCGCATCGGCCAGACACGCTGCAGCGGGGCTCCGAATGCTTCCCGTGCATCCCTTGGCTTCAAGCCACACCAAGAGCAAGTGACGAGCCAAGAAGCTGCATCCCAGGTCAGCTCCCAGGGATGCCAGCGTCTCCCACTCCCCAGGAGCCAGGCAGAAATGAGGACCCCAGCTCCAGCAGCCTCCCCCAGACCTGAGATCCCCACCGTGCCCCAAGGGAGCAAGAAAACAGCCAGCAAAGCGCCCGCAATCAAACCCAGCACAATCGGCAGGTAAAAATTATACTTTTATTTTTAATTCGAGTAAACCGGGAAGAGAATCAGTTGGTTTGTTCCATTTGATGGTTCCGTTAAAAAGGCCAAATAACGTTGGTTGGTTTTTTTTTTTTTTATTGGTGGGTGCTCAACCCGACGGGAAGGAGTACACAAGGACAAACCCCAATCAAGCGACGGATCCAGAAGAAAACACGTTCTAAGCTCAGCACTGAGACGCAACCGGGGAAGCTGGGATGGACGAGGTCTATTTTACACGTGATGAGAAGCAATTTAGCTTTTAAATTTTTTTTTTAATTTTTTTTTTTTTTACTATTGTATTTATTTATTTATTTTAAATACAGGTTTAGGTGCTTTTCAGCTATGAAAAAAGGCAAAAAAGTGCATAAGTCGAGAGAAAAGGCAGAAATCAAGCAGTAAGAGATTTGTTTCCCACGGTAAGGGAGAAGGGGCAGGGCCTGGGAGGGGAGAATTAGGATAATGGTTTCAAGGTAGCATTAAAAAAAGGTTTGTATACCAAAAGGTAATTGCCCGTGTTGTTTGGTCCATTAAAAAACGGTTTATTCACATTGCTACTCCCCCCCATGCCCAGACAAGAACGTGATTAAGAAGAGGATTAGCAGGGAGACACGGACTCCCCCCCACCCGGCCGCCCCCTCTCCCCTGCTCTTGTGCTCGCTTGTTTTAGCACCAACCGGGATTCCCATCCCGTAAAGCCCATCCCGGCTGCTTCTGGGGTCCCATTTTCACCCCGAGGTGACGAGGGTGCCAGGAGCCTCCGTCACTCTCCCCCTTCCCGTTGCAGCCGGCTGGGGAACGAGCCAGGAGCAAAGCTCTCCCCTCTCCGCAGCTCCCCTCCTCCCGGCGGGTCCCTGCCCTGCCAGGAACCCCCTCCCCACCATTTGCTCCAGCAGCCCCCGCTCCCGGCACCCCCAACCCCAGCACCGGCCCCGAACCAGCCCTGCAGCCCCGTGTGCTCTGAGAAAGGGGACTGCAAGCGCGAGGCAGCGGGCTCCTCTCCCCCTCCGCGAGACCGTCCCCAAGGACACGTCCCCCTGGAGAGCCAAGGAGTGTCTCAACTCAGCCGCTTTGATCCCTAGATTCCCTCTTTTCCTTTGGGAATAGCAAAGGGGGCAGCTTCCCTCTGGATGCATCCTGACCCCGAGCAGCCTGGCAAGGGTCGGTCTCCTCCGGCTGCCCGGTCCAGGCTGAGCCGGGGCTGTGAGCGGGCACGGGGCAGCGGGAGCGCCGGAGGCAGCACGAAGGCATCACCGCTCTCCAAAGTTCGGCTCCTCTGAGCTGGGAGAAGTGGATCCCAATCCTGCCCTCCCTGCACAGGTTTCCAGTTATACCTGCCCCTGCCCAGCTCCAGGACCTTTGGAGCCCAGAAGAGAAGGGGACAGGGATGTGCTTTGAGATTTTGGTCCATGACATGATCCCAAGTCCGTGGCGGCCCCAAAAGCCACCACCACTGGGGACCAACAAGAGGTGCAGGGTGGCTTGGGGTGCCAAACCCCGGTCTCTGCCACTCAAGACCGAGCTGCCAGAGGGGACGGTCACCCAGGACAGTCCCCAGTGTGGTGGCAGTGGGGAAGGATCTTTCACACGTGGCTCAGAAGAGGCACAGGGATGGGGGCTGATCCTGCCGGCTCCCCAGACCATCTACCCAGTGAGTGGAGGGCTCAGGAGGGTCCCAAAAGCCCGGCAGCAGCAAGAGAAAAGCAGGAAGGTTCTGGGTGAATCTGGGGAGCGACTGCTGCTAAGAGAGGAAGTGGCAGGGCCCAGGGGACCCCCAGACCCTGATTCAAAGAGAGGAAGCTGGGGCTGCAGGGGGGATGTGAGGTCTCGGTGTCGCAGTGCTCCCCGCCAGCGCAGAGGAGCGGGGGGCCTGGCCCATCTCCGGCCCCCGAGCGGGAGCAGCAGCCTCCAGGCGAAGCGAGGCCGCGGCTTCTCCCTTACCCGTGCCAGCAGAGCCCCGGCGCAGCCCCAGAGGGATCGGGGAGGCAGAAGGCAGCAGCCAGAGCCCGAGGCAGAAGCCAGAGCCGCTTCCAGGGTTGTCCAGAGCAGCCGCTCGGAATCCCCAGAAAGGAAGATTTTGTTTAAGATTTCAACTGTGAATGTTTTTCTGATTTGAGGACTGAAGGGAGCGAAGACTGAATGGAAACACAGCACACAGTGAGCTGGGAGAAGCAACGGGAGGAGCCAGAGCGGTGCAGGCTGGAGGCCGCCAGCCCTTCCCTCCCGGCAGCCCCGGGGACGAGCATCCCTCAACCCCTCCATGCAGACATCACTGCTCCTCCGCCCGTCCCCAGCTAGAGAGGGGGGAATTTGGTCCTAACACGGTCTCCTCCTCCCTTTGCCGGGGTCCCAGCAACGCCGGGTGCTTCCCCTGGCCAGGAAATGCCAGCGCGCCCGGGAGGACTAGAGAGGAGGGCGACCAAAGGAGAAGGAAAGCTGCAGCGGTTTGGTCTCTCGAGCCCCCAACATCCCTTGCAGACGGCCCCTCGGTCCCGACAGAGCTAGAACGAAGCTAAATTGGCAAGGGAAACCAGAGGCGGCTGCGGAAACACCGAATAACCGAGATGTCAGGAGGCGGCTCTGGCGGGCGACGGCAGAGCATGCTGCACGTTGATGATGGTGTCGCCATCCTGGAAGGAGACCTCGTCTTCATCGGCCGCGTTGTAATCGTAGACAGCGCGGAAACGCTTCTGTGGGGAGAGAGGGGTCAGCGGGCACCGACGCTCCCCGTGCCCTGCCCCAGATGGGCAGAGCTGCCATCCCTGGGGGGGGGGCCCAGGGCAAGGAGCCGCACCGAGCCCCATTGCAAGAGCCATGCCAGATCCAGGAGGTTCTCATTGGGCGCTGCACAGGGATGCTGGCGCCAGCCATAGCT